CCCTGCTAATGACATTAGAGGTTTATATGACAGACTAATTCAGCACTGTTACCTTGCGCCAGCTGAGAAATTGGCCCTGGGGTCAGCTCTGGCTCCAACATTTTCAAATACCACCATAGTCAAGGTCTCCTCTTGGACACGTTTAACACTGCTGTGGAAACGCTGGTTGTAAAATCTTTCCTTAAATTCCAATACTAACGCATTTCTTAATGGCACCTTGAAAAAACAGGAAAAAAGCTGGTCAATGCTGAGAGTCCCAGTGACATAGAATCATAGAACAATTCAGGTTGGAAAAGACCCTTGGGATCATCAAGTCCAACCATTGACATTAAAGCACTGTAGATAAAGCTGCTTTTTGCCAAGGTTGACTATATCAAGAGTCCACCACTGCTCCTCTTTCAACACCTACCGCACCCACAGCACATTACCTGTGGAGGTACTGTTGAAATTTTGCTGAAGTATGGGATCTGGAGTTTTCAGAAATGACAACAGGGTATGGAGATAAACATCCTTTAACAAGAGCCTTTTTGGTAAGTGTTGCTTCTCACCAAGCTTCCCTACGAGGAGGAGCTTCCTTGAAAGAAAAACCCTTTGCAAAAGGTGTTACTGCTCCTCATTAGGTGTCTTTTGGGTTATTGAATGCAAATTTGATGCTGAACAGGAGAGGTTCTCTGAGACACCACCTCCTACCAACCCCTGACCACAAAGTTTTCTCCAGGAAGGACCACCTGGCGTGATGAAAGGAGCAGTGCTGTTTGTTTTCTTCTCCTATGCATACAATGATGAGATCGAATATTCGGCTCTGGTTTAGCTGCTGCAGAAGTAAATAGCCTGGACATTCAATTACTGCAGCACATTGACCTGGAACGCAACACGAGTTGTTTTCCTTGCTGATACACAACCAACTTAGCAATAAAAAGCACTGAAGAGGAGCAGGGAAGCAGGGGACAAGGACTGGGAAGTTACAGTGAATTTGCCTCTCTGCACCACCAAGCGCTTCAAAAAACCCAACAAAAGAGCCCCTGCACCCCCATCAGCCCCTAGAGCCCTGGTGTACCTGGCTCACAGCCTTGCTTCCACCTTCTTTCCAGGAAAAAACTCTTGAATTTACACAACACTTCACAGAGTTACCAACCACCAAGACCAAGACGAAGGTAATGCCCCCGTTCCCTTATAACCCTGGTGGGTGTGTTCCTCAGCTGCCACAAATCAGCCTAACCAGCAATTTCGGTGCACAGCTTCACCTGGGGGTTGTGTGTCCCCAAAGCTCGTGCGAAGAGGAGACCTATCTGCCAGCTGGGTGGTGTTTGCGATTCAGACAGAGCCCAGGCAGCAGCTGAGCTGCCACACAAGTTGTGCTGAAGACTTCAAAAATAATCGCTCTTTGTGCTCCAACGTAAAAGTGACACCCCATTAGAGAGTCTGGGGCTTCAGGGCTCCCAGCAGAAATTCAACCACAGTTTTCCATTTTCTACATGGAAATAAAAATGGAACCAACTATTTTTTTTCGTTTTTTTCTTAAAAGCAGCTGCCTGGGTGAGCAATGATTTTATTATGCTATTAATATGATCATAAACAAGAATAACATGTGTTTATAGGCTCAAGTGCTTCATTACTCACTCGCTGACTTGGTAAAAATCACCGTGGCATCAGTATAAAGTGCAAAATGGAATAGATCATTGTATTCATGTTGTAAAATCATTTGGGCAGGTGACCTTTGAACGAAGGCAATTGATGGCTCTGAGGCAGCTGTACAACAACAGTAAAGATAATAGTTGTCCACAAGCCACTAGACCTGTAGGAGAGCAAATACACAGAATGCCTGGGAAGGGGAGAGAGCACCAAGGGAACTGAGAAAAGTTTGGGAATGAGAAGTGAAAATCAGCCCTGTTTGGGGATGGGGCAGGGAGGGGTGAGCCTGGTTGCAGGTGGCAGTGGTGCTGTTAGCTCAGCCTGGGCAGCGTCCCACCAAAGACAGCTCCTGCCCATGGGCTGGTGTCAGGCGGAGCAGGACAAAACCTCCAGGTCAGCTGGAGGGGTCTGGCTCTCCTGCATCTTAGTTTTGGGTCTGATACCTTCTGATGATGCCACCCCAACCATTTAAACTCTGGCAGGCACACGGGCTGAGTTGGGCTGTGCCACCCGGCACCCAGAGACTGTAGGAGCAGGATTGAGGATGTAGCATGAACCGGGAAGACTTGAACTTCCCTGTGGTTTTGTTCACATCTATTGGGGCAAATGCTCCTCCTTGCCATGCAATGAAGGGTACAAAGGGGTATTGACCCCCTAGGAAAGGTCTTCAAAATAGCAGGTTGGGAAGGTAACGGCCCCTGGGTGTAGCTGCTGCAAGGTTGGGACCTGCACAGGGTGAGTTTCCCAGAGTGTTGGCTGCTCTTGGGGTGCAAGAACGAGAGGAAAGGAAGCCCCCCCCACCCCATGGGGCTGTGCAGATGGGGCTGTCTCTCTGTTAGGGCTGACCAGGAGACACGAGTCTGCAGGGAAGGCTCCTGCTTTGAAGATGGAAGTGAAAGATTAGAAGAATGAAATGAAACGAAAAACCAGCATCGTGGATGATACCGTCAAGTGAGTGCAGGGAGCGAGCAGGAAGGAAAAATTACACATGTCCCGTTTTTTCACTTCTTGTCCTTCTGCCTCATTTCGTCAGCCACCAGCCCCCGAAGCATCCCGACGCCCGGTCGACAGTTACCAACAGGCAATAAATAAAACCTCTGGAGCCACTGGTGTCAACATCTTGGCATTGTTTGGGTCTTCTTGTTTGCCTTTAAAATAACTCTGCCCCTCAGGGTCACGCAGACGAAAAAGAGAGGACCCCCGGCCGTCGGTCGTAGAAATCATCTTGCCATGACTTGTGTTACGCTGCCCTTTTTTTTATTTTTGCCTGCAAAGCTTGGGGTTTGGGGAGCTGCCCAGGAGCATTATGCACACTACGCCCAGGGCTCCTGCTCGCTCCTGGCATCTTGTGTCCTGACACGTCACCCCGGGCGCCTGCAGGTCACCTGAGCCTGGGCCACACCACCCATTCTCCTGACTCCCAGAGGCACAGTTCGGGCTGCATTTGGGGCTGGTGTCACCCCACCAACCCTGTGCTGCTGGCTTATCTGCTGCATGGCCGTGCCCGGCTCCACTGCGGAGGCTGGCAGGTCAGAGAGTGGAAAAATAAACGGTGGAGACGTGGGTCTGCGGGGAGAGCCTGACCATGCAAACATGGAGTGACGCTGCCGAGCCGGGTGCTGGAGGGAAGCTGGAGCTTGGCATGATGCAAGCTGCTAATGAAGCTCTGGAGGCACAAGAAAAGCTCCTCCAAAGACATTTTTCATCCCTGGGCTTTGATAAAAGAGGGCTTGAATGTCCAAACAGGAGTATGCTGAGGGACCAGTCGCTGGAGAGGACCGATGCTCCCCAGTGCCTGGAGCATCTCCTTTCCTCCAGCAAGGGTTGCATGATGGAAAGCATCATCGTCCATCTCAGCTGAGTTGTGACTTGATGTCAGATTCACTCTCCCTGATCATCTTTAGCTTGTTGTTTATAATAAAAATCAAGCGATCCATCTCATCTGACAAGAGGAAGAGTTGCTCCAGGAAGTCCTGGACAGGTCAACTTCTATATTAAGGAACTATTACTTGACGGCTTCCTGGCCATAAATAGCTGTCCAGCCAGGCTGGGGATTTTATTTAGAAATAACAAATGCAGCAGGCCATAGAAGTAACTTCATGACCTTACTCCCCCTTCATTTCCCACCCATTTTTCCTCCTCAGTATGATCTTCTCCTCACTCCCAGGCTGCTTGGGACCTTTGGGATCCCCTGTATGCCCCCATTGCCCACCTCACCAGGGCAGCTCCAAGGAGCTGTAGAAACTCATTGTTGCCAGCTTTTGGAAGTGTGATGTGGGTTTTACATCACTGATGATCTTTTGCTAAAACTAAGCTCCAATAAATTATTTTCTACCTGGCTTCCGTTAAAATAATTAGAAAGGAATCCCTGCCCTGCATGGCTGAAAGCTGGAAATCCTCCATTTGCAACATCCCCAAACCTGGATGCAAAAAAATATACCTCCAACACATCCTTTCTTTTTCAGTCCCCCAAATCTTTCTCTTAACTTTCGGAGCACTAGCTTCTGATTTTCTAACGCTCAAAGATGGCAATATCCAATGCAATCAGGAAATACAAAAGAAAAACAGCATTTCGGTATTCTTTTATTACTGGGAGGCTTTGACCATTTTTGTCATGTGGTTTGCCTAAAATAATAATAAAAAAAGTCTTTGTCTGGAGCTGGAAAGGGAAGAGCAGCGTGTTTATTTCACGTATGACTCATCAGCTCAGTGTTGATACGCTAAACGCTTCAGAAGCTAACACTCTATAGAGATGATCGTTTTTAACATAAAACAGTACATGTTTAAAACAGCCGGTGCTTTTTTTTTTTCTCTTTTCTTCCTGTTGTGGCTAATAAAACATACGGGAGGCCACACAGTTTACATTTTAATAAAATTAAGTTATTTGGTGCCATGTTATTACAGTCTTTATTGGAAAGTGGAATAAATTGCACACAGAGGAGTCATAGGAGGGAGAAATCACTGCGAATAAACATAGATTCTGGGATGCATTTATTTGCTGGTTTCATTTCAAAGGAGGAAGGCCTTCCTCAGGAAAACGGAGCTGGCCCAGGGGCTCTGGCCTCAGGGAGGCAACCCTGGGTCGCTCTGGCTGAGGATGAGCTTTTTTGGAGAGCCGGTGCCACAGCGGGTCCAACCCAGCCTCGTTCCAGCCAGCATTTTCCACACGCATACTCCAAGAGAAAAC